ACTTTATCAGTTAAAGTAGGTACAGAGAATAAACTAAAGCCTCGGAGCATGTACTTTGGCACAACTGTGCTAAGGTCCATGAAATCACTGTGATTTGTGATTTATGCCAGCTACAGATCTGCAGCAATTAAATTATTAGAAAAATAAAATAGTTCCATTAATTTTCTCTAAAATAGTGAAGTAAACACTATTTCATGTCCTGTTTGTTAACCTCTTTTCTACAGGTGTTTCTATATACAGATCCACCTGAATACAGATGTACATCACTATGCCCTTAGTCCTTCAAACATACACAGAGCTCTTTGCCTGGAACTACTCTCTTCAGCAACTGGGCATCAGGTTCTCACCAGGGCTCTGGGGGAGTGTTATGATCTAACACAGGGCTCAAAGACAATTAGCTTTGCTCTGAAGAACAGTTCCTCTTTGCAGCCAGTAGTTCTGGATTTTACTATAGGCACCAAAGGGGATGCCAGCCCTTTGTTAAGAACAGCTATGCCAATACTCCAAAGCAGCCGTGCTGGTGGTCAGGCACTGCAGCTGCTGCAGGATGAGTTGTAGGGGTGGATGCTGAAACTCCAAATCCTACACACTAACTGAGCATTCTGACTACAGAATTAGAGCTTCTGCAGGGAACCAGAAGCAAGCACGATTCCTTTTTCTGCCTTATTTCATAGATTACATTTTTGGAAGAGATAAGGTTAGAGGAACTGAGGGATTACCTAATGGCCCTTTTTACTATAACTATTTCTTTTCTTTTAACTGAAGATCATTTAACATGTACTGTTGTGAAAACGGCATTACTATGGCAACCCACTGAAAAAAAGAATCACTGTAGGTACATCACATACATATGGACTTGTGAGAACTCACATGAGGTTTTTCTTGAAAGATGAAAACATCTCCAGATTTTCTATTTTATATATATGAATTAGGCATAGATTGAATATAATCTCTTTTCTTGAATATTTACACTCTCATCTAACTACAACTTCCTTAACCCTGCATGAACTCCAGCTATGCTAAGTGGCAAGCATTTTAACTGAGCAGTTAAACTTCTTCAGATGAATATTTTATGGTTTTCCCCACACAGTTCTGCTGTAAATTAGTATATATATGATATCCTTTTTAATGTTCATTAATTTTTAACATAGTCATAATTGTTAAAAACCAATTTACATATCAAATACGTATGTTAAATGTTCACATAAATGTTAAATACCAAAAGCCTGATTTTTTGAGCACTGAAAATTATAGAATCGTTACATGCTGAATCACTGCACATTAACCAAAGGAATGACTAACAACTCACGTTAAACTATATGCCACTTATTTTTAGTTATTTTTATATCATATCAAGTAATTTTCTGCTTCTGATATAAGCCTTTGCACTCATTTTACAGTCATGCCAGCCTTACTTATCCCATAGCTAGAGAATGTAATCTGGAAGATATTTTTAATACCTTTTTTCAGTTGAGTAATGGCCTGGGTAATTCCTTTGTAGGAAAAAGTTCAGAGTAAATGCACATATACACGTATACAAAACCATTTCATGTTGGAAGCTGTATTAATGTATCATACTTAAGGCATAAGTGCATTTGCAGTCAGTCATTCAAAGTAAAGGTGTTCTGTAAAATCACCACATTAGAAATAAAAATAGATATGACTCTATTGTAGTAACATTCAGGTGTAACACAGGACCAGTAAGAGAAAACAATGGGGGACACAGGTCTTGAGAGGTGCTTTGTTACATGACTTTGAAGACAGATCTGAAAAGGAACAGAGGCACTGTAACACTGCACTGTCAACTGCAAAGCACCTGGCCCACTGAACAAGGAACAGACCCTTTTATAGATGCTGACTTCTGTGTACAATACCAGGGAGAGCTCACTGTCCTAGGCTGGAACCAGCTCAAGGGCAGAATAAAGCATTTTCCAATAGGAAAGTCTCAGAGCAGCACATTTGCTAGGTCTTCTCCCTTTGAAGTTTACACAGCTTCCCTGCAGCCCAAGTCCCAGGGAAAGACTCCTCTCCCTGGAGGATGCACTTTTTTATGAGTTTGATCTCACACAAAGAAGGCAGAGTCACATCCTCAAAACAGGAGGCACAGAGCAGCTGCAGCTTCCCTTTAATGTGCTGTTTAACTACACAGGGCACTCACCCAGGGGGACTGGGGGTTAAACACTTCATGTTACTCTGCTTGGGGCACTCTCCACTCCTTACCTCTGGAAGGTAGGAAAGAGAGTACAAACGTGACCTGGATGGTTTGTGGGGCTGCCTAGATGAGAGGGAGTCATGTTCTACTTTCTGCCTAAAGAACTGGGGGAGAATTTTATCTGAAGATTGCCCGAGGAAACAGTTTCCCATTAGCAAATGTGGGACTTGCAGAACTGCACTTTTAGTAACAAGCATTTAAATTTCCTTCTATTCTTTTTGTGCTCAGAGGAGTTTTCTGGGCACTTAAATCCCAAATGGATATCTAAATAAAAAGTGAGTCTTTTGAGCTAAGAAAGTACTTCCCAAACTTCAAAACTAATGTCAGTTAAATTATGTAGGATGCCTAAGTGAAGCATGAAGCCCCAGTGGTTTTACTGAGAATCATTCAAGCATTTTGGTTGGACCTCTGTCAGTTTTTTCAACTAGGTCAAAAGGTTAATTTCATTCAAAAATCAACAAGATTTGCATTTGCTAAAGGGAGCAACAACTGTAACTGTTGCTGCTGTCTTTACAGTTCCACACAATAAAGTTTAAAGAGAGAGAAATACAAACAAACTAGGGTTTGAATTTGTACAATTTGTACAATTCCTGTGCCAGATCTGGCTGAGAGATGAAGAAGAAAATCTGCTGGGAACAGAAGAGGATGGTAAGTTAGTAATTATGTCCATTGGTACCTGTTTTGTTTACTAATCAAAGGTCTAATTGCTTTGCTCTATTTTAATTAATAATGTTCTTATTTTAATTAGTTACTTTTCCTGCATACATTAGCATAGACAGAAACCACTGAGGATATGAATATGAAGAGTTTAAAGTTAAGCTTTTGAAAATGTTTTAACAATTTCACAAGTGTTTACTAATGAAAAATGAAGCTGTTCTTCATAAGTGTGGCTTCTGCTACTCCAAGGATTTCATCCTATCCCCCAAAAAAGGTCTATTTTTTGTTTTAACTTAAGAAGTCAACTGGTATCAAATATAATTAACACAGGCACCAAAAGAGCTAATGTAGGAATATGAAAGGTTTGATGTGTTTAGATATGCTAAAATGTTCAAGCTGGCTGAACCTTTTGAAGCATCCCAATGCGACAGCTGATCTCTGAAGACCCAATCTCAACATTATTAGCAATTAACTTTGAAACTTTGGGAACTTTATCTTCTTCCATAACAGAGGCTGGGGAATGGCAAACTGTGCCCTATGAAAGAACTGGAGAACTCATACAAATTGTTCCAATTCTTGGGAAGAGACCAGAACAAATAACCTTTACAGAAGTACTGTTAATTAACAAGGACATATGTAGCAACCGTTGTCTTTTTCCCATGAACCATTTTTTGACAAATGTGTTTAATTCCTCTGTGGAGCAGATAACAGGCTTCATAGAGACCTGTAAATCCACAAGCTTTGGGTAAAGCGCTGCCCGAGGAAGGGCTGGTCTGTATGAAACAGGCAGTAGGATGCTACACAGCTGGTTAGAGAACCACACACAGCAGTTAGTAGTTCACTGTCAAAGTGGCAATTGCCAGCTGAGGTTCTGCAGAGGACTCTGCTGAGTGTGCTTACTCCAAGTTGTAAATGAAACAGGAAATATATTCATTAAACTTGAGGATAACAGCAAAATGAAAATGTCTGAAAAATACTGTAAAAAAGTAAAAATCTGACTTCTGCTCTATTACAGCCCAGCTCATAGGAATTGTCAGCAACTTTTCTATCACACTTGCACCCATTAGTGACTGGGGGGGAGCATAAAGTGCAAATGTGCAGAACAAACACCGAGGTTTTTCTTCATCTCATTCCAGCCTAGCACTGGGGCACATGATTCTGACAGGCACTGAATGCTTCCAGCTGACACTAGTTACTCAGAGAAGATTACCTGTTTAAGGACTGGTAACTTGTGTACTTGTAAACTACATCCCAAATCCAGCCTAAGTCAATTGTGCTTTTGAAAACTTACCCATTTGGCAATTGGGTCATGACCACTATGAATAAGCCTCCAGTTCACCAGCAGTGAGGAGACAAGGATTCACAGCACACTATCTGACACAGCCAGGGTGGCTGGTAAAGGTTCAGCTACAGAGGAGCATTTTATTCCTCATGAATACTCAACTCCACTTCTCTTTCCTTAGGCAGACTTCCTCTCAGAGCCGAGTGATGCTAACAAGATGCAGAGGAGCCAAGTCCAGTCCTGTTGCCTGTATACCTAGTTTTCCATAGCCCACAGAATTTCCTTGTGAGAAATGTTAAATTGAGGAAGAGTAATATAATTTATTAAACCTCCCTCTCCCCTCCCAAAACAAAACAAGATTCTGGAAGCACTTAAACACTGTCATACTTTTATTGTGCATTCTGTAAGTGCTTAAAGACACGTGCAAGCCTGGGTGCATTGTGTTGTCTGTATGTAGTATGCCACACAGTGCCTGACAGACAGACCCCTGAGTTTTCATATTCTAGTTAAAACAGACAAGAACTACATAAAATAGCATTGCCTCATTATACAGAAGGCAGACCACAGAAAAGTGTCTTAGATCACACAAAACAAAGGCAGAGACTGAAACAGATCTTTCCAAACTCTGTGTTAAGTCCATCAAAAATACCACGTGCTTTTGGCAACTCTAAAACAGATTAAAAATTGTATGAATCTAGTTAGGGCTTGTCGACTTAAAAATATTATTTAAAAATAAATTTTAATAAGTTCCCAGTTCAGAATAAATTCAAGTGAAATTCATTAAATTAAGAATTAAAATTTTGTTTAATAAACAAAAACCTTTTTCCTCCTTCAATATAAATTAATCACCAGCTAAGATTGTCACAGATTACTCTTCTTTCTTTCATCTACAGATGCATATAAATTCATGAAGTTATTCTCAGAGGATGAAATCAAGTTGTCAAGATCATAATCCACTTTAAAGGTAGGTTTCTTTCTAAAAATTACAAGAGCAAGAAACACAGCAAAGTGTGCAGTAAGTCCCCATATCCTGTATGACCTTTTCTGTTCCTGGTCATCATAGGTGAAACAGTGCATCCAAGTGAGGTAACCAGAGGAGGTTTTATAAGGCAAGGCTGTGTAATGTAAGGGCTTGATAAAGTACTCCAGTGGCACCACAAAAACATCACTCACTTCATCTGGATTAGGAGTGGCCTGGAACGTGTCCTCTATAAATCCTACAACTGGTGTCACCAAGTGGTTCATCTGAAAGAAAACAAACAAAAAAAAACCCCAAACACCAAGTTTGTACCAAGTAAAATAATGTTCTTTATTTTAAAAATATTTCCAATGTTACAAAATGAGTACAAGAAACCTGAAACTTTCTCAACTGTAATGGAATTTAGTCCCTCTAATGGCAAGATATATTTTATTTTAAATATATTTTAATCAATTTTACATTTTCTTTTATATTGGTTAAGCAAACAGGCCTATTGCCAAAGAAAAGCTGTTACCTGAGGAACAAAAATCAAGTCTTTTGATAGAGTAACCCCTCTGTACTCTGGGAACTGATCTTGTGTAACACTGAATATTGTTAATGAAACTGGCAGCAAGTTACAGTGCCTTACACTCCAAAGAAAACCTCCAGGAGAGAAGTCTCCTTGCTAGAGTCCCATACAACCACATCCACATAACCTCCAGAGGTCCCTCTCGGCCTGAATTAACCCTGCTTTGAGCAGGATATGAAAGGAGTGAACATTTCAGGTCACAGCAGGCTGCTGAGGGCCTTGTCTGGATGAGTTCTGCCTATCCCCAAGGATGGCAATGGTACAGCCTGTCAGGAAAATCTGTTCCAGTGTTTGGCTAACCTCATGGTAAAGAATATCTTCCTTGCTGCTTGCCACTATCGTCTCACCAAGACTCTGGTATCATCTTCTCCTTAAGCACCCAGGAGGTACTTGAAGAGAGCAGCAGATCCCTGCTACTCTTCTTCAGGCTGAGCAAACCCACTTCTCAGGCTCTCCTCCTGCTCCACATGCTCCAGCCCAGTCCCCAGCCTCGTGGCTCCCGGGCAGGGGGCCGGGCCCGTGGCTGGGCAGACACCCCACGCGTGGCCTCGCCCACACCCCGTTCAGAGCAGCAACCTCTGCCCCTCCCCCTGCTGCCAACGGGGCCAGAACCAGCAGCTGGGCACAGTGTGAAAGGGTCACCACCAACCTGGCAGGAGGAAATGACCCATGCTTCTTTTCTAGCAGCGTGCCGACTTGCTCAGTTTACCACTTACTTTATCAATCCCAGGCACAAGCCTACAGATGACTTCCACCTTCTCTGGAGGGAGTCCCACTTCCTCCTTGGCTTCTCGGAGAGCAGTATCAATGTCATCTCTATCAGCCTCTTCACTTTTACCTCCTGGAAAACACACTTCCCCTGGTGATCTTCTCAGCTAGAAGTTAAAGGAGTACTGCTGTTAAATATGACGAGTTTTACACTTCTTGGACCCACACAGACACTTGTTCATGTTGCAGAATCACTTTATGTTTGATTTCTCCTTCCAGTCAAAGCTGGAAATGGTGCTAGGAGGTTTCTGCAGATCAGAAGAAATGTGCCTTACCTAGAGCTACACAAGAAGCTGAGCTTATACCCAACATTTGGGGCTGTACCCATACATTTTTCATCCTCTTGCTCACATAGACAACTGGCAAATAAATGTAGACAGACAACTTGAATAGTTAGATTAAAATACTCAAGAGTAAGAATGTCTAAAATACACATTTAAATAATGAACTTTATAGTAACAGGCTTGTGCATCAAAGGTGAGTAAAAAGCCCATTTACAATCAATTAATCATCTATGTAACTGTAATTATTAGGGCCTTAAAATTTTTAAGCAAGACCCCCAAAACCTTCCTTTTTCAGCAACAGAAAAAAGATAATAAACTCAGAATAGAAGCAGTTGTTTAGGGTCAGAGAGGGACAGAAAACATGAGTTATAGAAGAAAAAATGCTGGCAAAAGAGTTCTGAGGGACATTATTTGTTGCCTTTCGTATCTCAAAGGGATAGAAGAGCAATATTAGATGTAGACTGAAAAGTCAAACTAATAAAAGCTGCACTGCATCATCACCTTATTGAAGTCACAGTAAACAGTCAAAATTCTCTCTTCTGATCTGGCAATCACCTTTTACTGTCCCAGGTTTGTGGGTGTCTGGCCTTTTCCTGACATGTAAATACTAGAATCACAGAGTGGCTTAGGTTGGAAGGGACCCTAGACATCATCTAATCCAACCTCCCTGCCACAGGCAGGGACACCCCTCAACTAGACCAGGTTGCTCAAGGCCTTATCCAACTTAGCCTTAAACACCTCCAGGGAGGGGGCATCCCCCCGAGGGGGGGGCCATCCCCAGCCTCTCTGGGCAGTCTGTCCCAGAGTCTCATCACCCTTGTACTGAAGAACTCCTTCCTGCGGTCTAGTCTAAACCTACATCCCATCAGTTTAAAACAATTTCCTCTTGTCCTGCTGCTGGATGCTCTTGTGAAAAGTCCCACTCCAGCCTTCCTGTAGGTTCCCATCAGGTACTGGAAGGCAGTTATAAGATCCCCCTGGAGTCTTCTCCAGGCTGAACAACCCCAGTGCCCTCAGCCTATCCTCATAGGAGAGGTGCTCTAGCCCTCGGATCAACTTTGTGGCCCTTCTCTGGACTCATTCCAACAGATCTATGTCCCTTTTATGGTGGGGACACCAGAACTGAATGCAGTATTTGAGGTGAGGTCTCACAAGAGCAGAGGAAATTGATCTGATGGCCACACTGCTCTTGATGCATTCCAGGATGGATTTGGCCTTCTGGGCTGCATGAGCGCACTGCCAGCTCATGCTGAGCTTCTCATCAATCAACACCCTCAAGTCCTTCTCTTCAGGGCTGCTCTCAACCAGCTCTGTACCCAGTTTGCAATTGTGCCTGGGACCAGCCTGACCCCGGTGCAGGACCTTGCACTTTGGCTTGTTGAACCTCACGCAGTTTGCACTGGCCCAGTTCTCAAGCCTGTCCAGGTCCCTCTGGATGGCCTCCCTTCCCCCAATTAAGTCAACTGCACCACACAGCTCAGTGTCATCGGCACACTCGCTGAGGGTGCACTCAACGCCACCGTCCATGTGACTGACAAAGATGTTAAACAGCACTGGACGCAGAACTCCCTGAGGAGCTCCACTTCTCACTGGACTTTAAACCACCGATCGCAGCTCTTGGAGTGCGACCTTCTGGCCAGCTCCTCATCCACCCTATATAAACACCAGGGCGACCGGCGTACAGCAGCAGGCGCCCGAGAGCGCGGGCTGC